ATATATATATATTGCATTCTTAGGCAACAAGAGGAGTCAAAATATAAATAATGCTCTCCACTGGAGTTTGAAGACATGATCTCTACAGATGCTGTGCCGGCTCCCCCTATGTGACAAACAGAAGAAAATCATCTTGTGTCTCTTGCTTTCCTCACTTTTTATAAAATATTATTGACTGTAGACCTCTACCTTGCTTAGTCAATTTGTTTATCCCCTTATTTTGTTTTTATTCATGTTAAAAAAACATCCCCATAATTATTAAAGGTTTAAGTTAATGGCGGATTTTTATTAAAGAACAGATTTATGCGCAATAATCTGTTTGTGATTTTAATTTATGTCTAATAAAATAGACAATGAAGCAAAAAAACAAAAAAAAAAAACATAACATACATGATTAGTGTTCACAGCATAAACATCTTACATACTGTTAATTTAAGTGCAAAATACACAAACGACTAACAAATAGCTGCAGCAGATGCACATGGAAACCGTGGAAATCTTCATCAGAATCCTTACAGCAAATGTTCAGAACGGGAAATGAAATGATTTGTGTTGAATTAACCATGAATGCAACATCAAAAGAGTGCAAACTCCTAAAATATATTATTGGACCAAATGTCTCCATTTACTGCTGCAGGGAATCTACAGAGCATCGTTTTCAGACACTAAAGCAGAATCAAATATTCAGAAAGAAAACCCAAAATGGGCTCAAATCTTACACTCACCTCTTTCTTTGACTTATTGGCTCCCTCACTTAAATTCATCTTGGAAGCTGCTGTGAAATGAAATTCAAACAAAGCATTGAAAGCGTGTCGAGCCCCTCAGTCGGATCGCCCTCCTTACTATGTCTCCTAGCTGCAAGGTGCAGCACATGACTTCTGCTCGGGGGGTTGGAGGGGTGGCTGTTAAACTCATTGAAGTTTAACTAACAACCCCTGAGCCCCTTTGGCAGTGGAAGGACTGTTGACCCAAATAATAACCAGCCTTTGTGGTACATGTTTAGAATTACTCAACATCTAGCCTGAAACAAACAAATACAATTTTATGCCAGGGCACCTTTCCTTAACACATATTTTTGTTTGCAGAAAGGTTTTTCTCACTTCTATGTATTATTACACAGATCCTGAGACAAGGTTGCACTGAAATGTGAAAGGATTTGTCCAATGTTAACCGTTTCTCCAGTTGAAGAACGGAGATTTTTCTTCATCATATCCACAGCTTTGAGCATGTGAGTTTTAAACCCTTACTCAACAGGTCAAGTCAACTCTATGTGCTTCAGAATGCCATTTGTTGACCTTCATACAAATTCCTTCAAAGAGTCTTGAAGCATTGCAAGACGGTGCAATAAAGCACAGGCATAATTTAAGAAGTTCTACTCCCATAAACAATAGCGTTTGGTGCATGAAGATTCAATAAAGGCAATATAATTAAGCAGCTTTTCTTTAAAGAATAAAAAGGGCGTGTTTGTGAACCATACTGTTTTGCACAAACAGTGCCCTGTCTTTGTTCTCTCAGTTTTCCCTCCTGTTAAACTCATTTGCAGAAAGATAACTTTTCATTAAATGTTGTGTGTATGGATAAATTAAAACAATGACGTCCAATGTTTTATTTCTTCGTTTTCTACACAAGATACTTTAATTTCACTGAACAGTGAAAATAATATTGTGTAAGCAGGCTTGCATTAGGAGAGAATGGGGCTGGCTGTCACATGGGTTGGTTGTTGCTAAATCTCACCCCTTGGAGGGAGTTGTTACAAAATGTTTGCGTGCGAGTTTCCAAAATAGTTCTCACAGACTAGGTAGATTTTTATTTTAGTAATTTGAAACTTGACTTAGATCTGTGAGAGGACTTATTGTTTTTTCACATCATAGTGAAAATTTTAGATTTATTTTCTGAGTTCCTTTTCAATTGTCTTAAACCCTAAATTTAGGATTAAACACTTATCATTTAAAAAGTGGAGTTATAGCTGGGATAGTATTTTTTCTTTGCTAGGCTATATCATGTGGTTGCTAGCATAAATGCAAGCAAAAACAATAGAGGTGGACAGTTGTCATACGTCTGTAATTCCTCTCCAATCTTAGTCATAAAAAAACTGACCAATTATCAACAGTAGCTTAGTGTTTTTAAGTCAAAGTTACTCCACTATCACAAATGACTGCTTGAGGCGCAGGTGTCGTTGACAGTGATCGCATTTTACCACAAGAGGGCGCTTCTTCCTCACAGAAGCACAGTGTGAATGTGCGTGTGCAACCCTGAAACCTTTCCCCCTCTGGAAACTGCAAGGAGACCCACGGTTTCCGTGTGTTCGTGGTTTGATCATGTCGGGCAGAAAGCCCCGGTATGTGGCGAACCCCCTGGAGTCTGCGATCACCACCCCGAGCGAGAGGATCCTGAAGGAATGCCACAGTCTGTATGTGGACAGCGAGAACGGTAAATACCCAGCGGCGGACACCCGGATTACAGCAGCACAAACAAGCAGACAAGAGTGTGGTTTTTAAATGTTGAACAGCAGGGGGGTTTTTACGGTGATTTGTGGGCTTGCAGAGATTTTGCAGCGGTCTGTCCGCAGCAGCTGCTGTCAGTGTGACAAACATGACACCTGAACCAGAGACGCTCCCCTCTTGGCAGGCGGCGCCCCTGTCTGTGCACTCACTGCCAATGTCTTCTTACACAGGGCGAAACCCGGTTACTTCCACTTCAAACAAATGCAACTGCTGTTGTAAAGAGCGATTGCCCTCACACCAACGCTGTTATGTAATAACTATGTGTGTGACTGCAGACTTTGCTCTTAAAACTCCTCACAGAGCTTTCCTTGGTACAATAGTTATAGGACTTGGAAACTGAGCAGAAAGAGACAGATGCGAGAAGACATGTTGAACCAGAAGAACTAGAGAGTAGCTTTTCCTTTCTTCAGGATCAGATGTTACACAGATAAACCTGCCCACGGCAAACAATCTGGCTGCTTCAGTTCAAACAGAGGAGGAAACCCACAGAGTCCTGATTTCATATTTCATTTTTGAATGAATGAACCATTTTAAAATAATGTTTTTGATGCAGCATCAGCATCGTATCGATGGTTGTTTGCAGACCAGAAGTGGGTTTTGTTACATCATGCTCAACCTATGGATGCTATGGACAACTCGCAGGGATGATTGTGAAACATCCGTATGTTAAATCAAGAAAGACTTGCCTGAAAGCTTTGGTCTGGACTTCTCAATTGTACCAGTAAAACTTTGAATGTTCCCAGCTGCTGGTCTACAGTTGTAGCCAGAAGATGCTTCTTATAAGATTTTATCCTAAGGGGTTAGTGAAATACCTGGAAAATGCAAATGCATGCCAGATGCAACTTAGACAACTACTTTGGACAAAGACCATGTGTAGCTTTAAAAGCAGAAAAGAAAATTAGATTGAAAACCAGTTTCCTTTAAAAAGAGAAATTGTTTATTCAAAGAGTTGAGTCATAGTTATTCTTTATTAAGCCATACATCCGTTGTGTAGTGTAAGGATGACATTAAAAATAAAACTACTCAGTAAAGGTTTTCTAAAGTGTTTCTGTTCCTTCTCAGTGATTTCCACGTTTTGATTTTAGCATTTGTGTGCGCCCTTGAATGCAAATTTCCATTTGCATGTGCGTACTCACATGCAAATGTCTAAAGAGTGCACTTAGCTAGTTTTTTATTTTTATTTTTATGAAATAGATTTATATTTAGCCTGAATATAATTGTTTTAGTATTTGATTACATTGTGTGTTCGCAGGTCTGGTGAAAATTGCCAGCAGCCTCGGAGTCCGGCTCCTTCCTCCGAGAAAGAAGATTATCGTGATGATCATGGGAAATCACTCTGCAGGGAAGAGCTCCTTCATTAACTGGTAGAACATCTCTTTTATTAAAATTCACTGATCCAACATGCATTCGTCTGGTTTTTAAACTCTCCGCTTCATCTGTGGAGAGAGTTTAGTAATCTGTGCATCATAAATATTATCATGGTATGCTATACACACATGGCACCTCTGAACTACATGGGTGGAGAATATGTTGCTGAGGAACTTCAACAGTTTGTTCCATCTCAAACCATGTTTTTTTTTTAAATAAAACATCTATTAAAATACATTTTAAGCAGTAAGTGGCATAAATTTAAAAATAAATTTATACTTTCTTGCAGGAATGTATATCAAACAGAGAAAACTCTTGAATTTAGGTGGAGAGTTGGTCTTTTTTTCAGGTACCAAATGAGGCTGAGCCGTACCAGCTCTGAAACTTAATATAGGCTCCTTAAATTGGATGACATTTGTTTTAGATTCAGTGGAAACTAATCCACTAGTTTATCTGCGATTGTTCCCACTTTGAACATTTCTGATGGTATGTGAAATCTATAATTTAATTTTATTTTTTTTGGTAAACTGATGTCATGTTTACTATGTTGCAATCTAATTTAGTAATCTGCATTAATCTCAGGATTTGAACAAATAAATATTCAAGCATTTTGGTCAAATGACGTCCATGTGAACGGCATCCTCTCCCAGAACAACATCCCCCCTCGATTATAAGAGCTGCATTGCTTCATGCTAGCAGGTATAAGTTAATGGATTTTAAATTGTCTGTTCATGTTTAACAGTGGGTGATTTTTTTTTTTTTTTTTTTGGACTATTTAGCCCAGCACTCGCTGACCTTTGACACAGGCCCCCTAATGATTGATTCATAGGCAGCAAGTTTGTAATTGTGTGTAATGGAAATTCATCAATAAACAAAAATAATCTAAAGTTTTTTGCAGTGTTGGTTTATTATAAAGTGAGTGTTTTTTTTATTATTATTTTAGACCAGGAGAGGAACAAATGATAGTTGCAATTTCTACAGCTGTTTATTGTGCTAAGTGTAATATATTTTTGATGCTGTGTTATTCGATGGTTTTGTAAACCACCTAAAATCATTACCTGAATATATTAATGCCGCTTTAAACATATGGTGCTTGTGAACATTTCCCCAGCCTGATCAGCTGATCTGTGATCAGCAGTGCTGCAAAACAGGAGCTAAGCAGCTTCTAGAGCTGGATTTATGAGCACCAGGATGCCCACTGTGTTAAAGACGTTTGTTTTTGTGGGCTCAGTGGGAAATGATCAGCTGTGAGAGCAGCTCTGCAGCGTGTTAACCTGCTTAAACCAATTAAGAAGTGATTTCAAAATAAATTGCAGGAAAATAAAGAGATGGTCAGCTTCCTTATTCGGATTCCAACCACACATTTTGAACTAATGTGTGTTTTTCTTCCTTTTTTGCTTTTATACTTGAGAAATTGAAAACAAAAATAAACTTCAGCGTTTGAGACATGGTGTTCAAATGATTTATCGGCTGCCGTTCCCAGTGAGCGCACTCGGTTCTTTCTTCTGAGTCGGCGTTCTTCAGGTTTCTGGGCCGGCTGCGTCCCCGACCCGACCCTGAGTCAGGAAACGAATCGAACCGAGTTTGAATCGGGGCATTCAGGAAGCATCTCGTCAGATAATAAGAAATCATTTAATGAACAGCTTTTCTTTTTCTACCACCTTGTGTAAACTCAGCTCTACAACATGTGATGCGTCTCAAAGAATAAACCTTTCAAAGTTTCACACGTTAATTAGTCCTTATAATTTAGAACAGTCCTGAATGAATTATACATAATAAGCTCTGTCAGGATTTTTAAATGAGTAAGATCATTAAAATTGCAGAACCCTCTTTTATGTGAACAATGAACTTGTGATCATAACCCCATGTCAATGTTTATAGAACACTCATTTCTTGAAGGCCTTAAGAAGCCTTGCTTGAAGTACCTAAATGTTTTGACAAAGGTCGGATCTGAGGTGTTTGCATGCTCGACACCACTGAATCCTGTAAATATTTTCACTCTAATTTCTGGCCTGATTGAAATGTCTCTGCAGGTATGTCGAAGAGCACATTCAGAAAACCGGTGTGGCCATTGAAACTCAGGGCTTTACCTTCATCACCAGTGGTCGCAAGAGAGAGTCGCTGACGGTAAGATCGACACGGAGACGTGCAAACGGAACACAAGCTCTTGGTTTTTAGGATTTATGGATGTTGGTGGAAAACTTAATCACTACTCGATGCCTTAATGGCAGACAATTGGAAGCATCCCTTACACATCCTATTTTTTTTCTATGTTAATTTCTCATTATGCATTCGGCCTCAGTCATGCACTCTGTTGCGCGCCCTGAGTCATCTTTGCAGCACTTAAACAGGTTTGGGAGCTGCCTGCCTCTCCCTCCTCTCTCACGCTTTAACTCCCTGTTCATAACCCGCTTTGGTCAGAGTGATGAGGATGAATAAAATATTTACAGTCAGGACTGCAGAGTGGCCAAACCAAGGATATTCAGCTGCAGCATGCAAGCTGCTTCTAATCCCCAAATCACATGACTACAACTAAAGCAGACTCTGCTGTAGAGATTTGTCCCTCTCATGTTGCATTTTTAACTCTTTCACAGGGAAATGCAACATTACATCTCTATCCTCATTTCCGACCTATCCTTGAGTTCAAAGGTAAGATTTGACTTTTTTTTTTATTTGTATTTTTTATTGAAACTCATAACTGAGAACATGAAGGACATTTTCTGACTGTTTTGTATAATTTATCTACAAATACTATTGCTCTGGGAAAAACAGAAGGTTGCCATTTTGTATCTTATTCAGTGCAGGTGTTTCCTTGAAATGTCTCTGGGAATAAAACGGTGTCGTACATGTTTATTTTTCTCATAAGGTGATGAAGTTTTGGATCAGAAATTTAGCCTGCTGTCGTATTAGCATGTTAAATGGAAGCTAGTTAAAATAGTGCCACTTTTGTAGCCAGTTTAATCATAGAAATACATTGGATTGCCCTTTTTTTGTTGAACACAGTTGCTTTTCAATCATGTAAAAAAAAAAAAAAAAAAAGGAAGGGTGTTAAAATGATTCCCACTGCAAGGCTGGTGAATTATTTACCCTTAATCTAAATATGTGTCAAACATTTATTTTTTTCTATTTAAAATTAACCTGTTGTGGCGTGTCAATTTTTTTCACATCCCTAGAAATCCTCTCTACTTACTTGGAACCCTGAGAGATTTCTATTTCCTCCTCATCAGATAAAACCACAACTCCTTTCTGTATAATTTACTTCATGTAATCTAACTTAATGGTCTTTATAGGGATTTCTAAAGGTTTTTCTTTATGATTTGGCTGCTTGTCTTACTCTATTTTGGTTCAATCTTGTATACAGGCAACATATTTGAAATATGTTTGCCTTTGGAAGACAAACAGGCCCGCAGCATCACAAATCTTCCACCGTCTGGGTGGCAGGGTTACCTTTTGTTACTTTGTAATTTGACACCTTTAAATTGGGCCTCTGTCTCTTTAAGAAGCCCCTACAGTAGGAGCTACGCCTTCAGCACATCAACGCAGCAATGGCTCTTTCTTATGCTGTTTACAACATTTTTGGAATGAGAAGTAGCTTTTACGATGAGCTCAGCAAATTCACAGGTTCACCAGGTGTTTGCTAATTGTTGCTGCCACTAGTCTGGAGGAGTTGAGTGGGGTAGTTGTGGAGGAGGGGTGATGTGTGAGGCGGATACTCGGCTGGAGACTGCAGCACTGAGGAGGAGCTTTCAGTCACTTCAAATGGTGGCTATGGGAGATTTCTCCAACATGCATGAAAGAATCAAAGCAACACTCCATGCATGTTTCTGATGAGGAAATAATCATTATAGTCCGATTAAAAAAAAAAAAGTCAATTTTTACTAAATTTAACCCCGGCCATGGAAACCAATACATATATATATATATATATATTTTTTTTTTTTTAAGTCTGGCTTTTTACTTGCAAAATACAAAAAACAAGTTTTGATTCCAGACGTCTTTTTTTTTTCTTCTTTTTTCAGTTTTAAACCGCAGTTGTTAAGTTAGAAATCCCACCTGTTCCCTCCCTCCTCGTCTCACACACAGTAGGCGGTGTTTGGATCGGACATGTGCCAACTGAAATGACTCTGGTTTATATAAAAGTGAGAACGTGTGCATCAGCGGAGTCACTGGAGAGACACTGGGTGTGCCTGCTGCTGAGCGCTGGTGCTGCTGGAGGGGGTGGGGTGCGGCACGCGTATGTTGACAGGGGGAGTATGCAGAGCGAGAAGGTTCACTGGGTGCGGACTCATGGTATGGCGTATGAGTCACACGCCCCGTCGACAGCAGTGCAGTGTAGTCAGGAGGGGCGGCTGAGAAATGTCACAGCCATTAGAGGCGGTGGAGCTCCGTGCCGGAGCAGCAACAGTTCTGCTCTGCAGGCCAGAGTCGCTCTGCTGCTGCTGCTGCTGCTGCTGCTGCTGCTGCTGCTGGACAAAAGAGCTGGATTTATGTCTTCTGAACTTCCTCGCTGCATCTGGAAGAGGCACATCAGGCTTTTATTAAGCTTTCCCAGAGACTGAGGATGACTCATCAGAAGATCATCATATATCCTTTTGCGGGGAGGAGATGCTGGCTCACTTTTAGGAGAAACACTTATTTGAATGAATGTTTGAACATGGATTCTGTCTGTCTCTGTGCTCTCTACCTGTTGTTTGGACTTTTATGCAATGTCCTTCTCAGGAAATGCTTCATTATTGTCTAGAACGAAGGTTTTGACTCCGCTCATTTAATTTCAACCGTATGCAGTCAATCTAATTTTACGAGTTTAATCTGGCAAAAGCTTCTTTGCAGCAGTCTTGAAGTGTTTCTTCCCCCTGTTTTTATTTTTTTTTAGTGTTGTGAATCTGCTGCAAAGCTTTTTTAGAGTTCAGCCGAGAAACTCTTTTCAAATTGATTGGAATCACTTGTTTCCCCTTTTCTGGCTTTTTTGATTTGAGTCAAACTGTAATGTCTCTCTTCTTAAAGCATCATTCATTTTAGTTCCAATCGGCATATTCAAGCATTTATATTTTAAGAATCATCCAGACTGACTTCAGTTCAGGTTATTAGCATTTAGTTAAGTTTGATTGCATTTACACACGTGCTTATTAACATTTCTTTTCTAATAACTGCCTGTTTGCACAGTCTGGACCTCTAAGGTTTTGTGCTCGGAGCCGGTTGTACTGATATTGCGTTGATAAGGGAATGCTAATGTGGCACAGCAGCAGCAGCAGCAGTGGTCCTGCTCGCTGCAGCACAGGGGTGTGATTTGTGACGGGTGTTGACACCTGCCTCTTCGTATAAAACAGCCTCAGTGTCATCCCAGGCCTGCGCTCCGTTTCAGTGGAGAGAGAGAGAGAAGCTCAACAGCTCTGCTCTGAAGTTTACCTGTCTATTATGGGCGTGAATGTTTTATGATGATTACCGTGACATTCATTTGGGTTTTAACAGTTATTAGTTATAGTTAATAGCACTTTGTATGGCCTTGTTGCTGAAAATGTGCTATATCAATAAAATTACCTCTACCTTTGTTTTTTTAAAAAACGAGTTAACGAGGCCATTAACAAGTTTCTGGAATAATCTTTGCTGGTGTTTTGGAGCGCTCTTCTTGGTAGAAATGTTCCTGCACATTTAAATATGGTGGCTGATTTAAGTTTTGAAAATCTGGATTTTTTTTTTTTCACCAATGGATTTCTTGAGTGTCCAGAGTGATGTCAGCCCACCCACGCAGAAGTATTTATTGAAATAACACATTTTTTAAAGATATTTTCTGTGATGTGTAATTTTTTTTGAGGAGCAAAAGTGAGGGGGAAAAAAATCAAGTAAAATTGGAAATCTAATTTTGTATAAAAAAAAGAGAGAGATTTTATTTTTAAACAATATCTCCCAATTCTACTTCCCGACATGAATCCAATTTCTCTGTCCAACTTTCAACTAGCTGACCCAAAATGTTGTAATCTGGTGAAAACAAGAAACCATTATGGTCAACACAGACTCAACCGAGGCATAACTATATTTCAAAACTAGAAGATGCTGGAACACCAGTGTTGCTGGTCAGTGAGGCAGATATTGAGCTTTTTGGTCACAGTAAGAAGAAGTCTATTTGCACAATGTACAAACCGCCAGGGGTGGTGGCTGCATCATGCTGCGGGTCTGTTTTGTTACCAGTGCTACTGTGGGTGAAACAATGAAGAATGACAACTTCAAAATTGTTCAAGTTTCTTTCAGATTAGAAACTGTTTGGTTAAAATTGAACGCTGTGGTTTGCTCCAGTGATCCCAAACACACTTTAAATCTCATTCTGGAGTGGATAAAGCAGGATAACATTAATGTTCTGGGAAGGCTTCAACTTCAGCCCAGTTGAAAGTTTATGGACTGTGCCTTGAAGCCAGACCTATGTTAGAAACTCGAACAATTTAAATTAGTTCTACCAATAGTGATAGGAGGTCAAATATTCAACCAGAATTGGACTGAAAGTTTGTTGGTGATGGAAAAACATGGTGTGGTCAAAATTCAACGTCCTGAAGGAAGTGCAACAAAATATTGGTGTAACCAAATAATCTGCATGAATTTGAGGATGTATGCACACGTTAGCCATGTCTGGATTAAAAAAAATCCATGATGACTTATAATTTAAACACCAGTTAAAGTGGAAATAAATTAAAAAATATATATTTTTTTTTAATCTGGAAAACAAGTGGTTCAAACGAATCATTAAAAGCCCTAAATAAACCCGACATTCACCCCAAAATCCTCCGCCTGTGGATCCTGTTCTGTCTGTGGGGACGGTGCTCGCTGTGATGCGTTACGATGGCCTCGCAGTGCGTTGCCTCACAGTCGTTCTTCACTGGCTAGCTTTACGTCCTACGGCCCACACTAAAGCTGCCAGTTGAAGAGCTGTTGTGTGTAACAGTGACGACAGACCTGTCCATAGTGGGGACAGTGAGACATCACAGCGACATTCAAATGATTCATGAGCCACGACAGCTTTGTTTTTTTTTTTTTTGTTTTTTTTTACTGAGCCTCTAAAAGACAAAGTTTGTGAAATTGCAAAACCTACAAAGACAAAGAGTTTCTGATCTCAGTATCGCCGAGCTCCCTCCGGTGTCCAAGTATTGACCACACTGCGTACATCAGATACAGCAGAATCCTGCAGTGACTCAGCTTTATCGGTCGTATTCATCCGAAATCTGTCTTTCGTTTTTTTTTGTTTTTTTTTTTACAGGTGTGATGGACTACCTGTCTGCTGAGATCTCCACCTCAAAGCAGAAGAAATTCAGCCTGGTGACGTTCGTGGACACTCCTGGTTTGGTGGACGGGGACATGATCTACCCATTTGATGTCAACAGCACCATCACCTGGTTGGGTAAGAATTTAAGGCTTTATGTTTTCGGCATCATCAGAGTTGCTCCGCAGATGTTGACGCGTCTGATTATTGTTGCGCAGGAGAACAGGCGGACCTGGTATTCGTCTTCTTTGACCCGATGGGTCAGGCGCTGTGCAAACGGACGCTCAACATCGTGGAGAAGCTGAGCGACAAATGTGGAGACAAGCTGTTGTTTTATCTCAGCAAAGCAGACGAAGCTGGGAAGGAGACGGACAGACAGGTCAGCTTTTTGTCCATAAAAACTGTTTTAACTTTTACCCAGAAAAAAGTATTAGCTTATAAATATATGTTTGTTTTTTTTTCCCCACAGAGAGTAATGATGCAGATTGTCCAGGAGCTGTGCCGCCGTCCAGGCCTCAATAAATGTGGTTTTGAGATGCCGACGATATACATCCCCAACCCACAGAAGGTGAAATTCAGTGTTCCTGAATTTGGACTTAATTATTTTGGTGTCAAGATCCATTTTTAAAAAAATAAGAGTATATTCTGGACAGAGGTGTGTCTAGGTTTGTGGTGATGCACTGGTTTCATTGTGCTGCTTCTATAACTGCACAATAGTGTGAAGGTATAATATTTCATTCAACAGACACTTAAAAGCTGCTAACACACTTAATGTCCTTTTGTCAGAAGAGGAAGAGGTGAAGACGGCGTTATTTTAACTAAAAATAGATATGCTTAATTATTTTAGTGTTTCTGCAATTTAAAACAATTAGTTCATTTTGTGCATTTCTTTTTATTTTGTGTAAATTCAATGAAAGTCTGTTACTTTTACTCAAGATGAATGTGCGGTTTAAATCGTGTTGAGCTGACCTTTCCTCACTTAGGCTTGTGCATTATAAAAGCCCGTAGTTTTCCTTCAAATTCCCTAATTGTGTTTGATTGGAGTTGATGAGCTTTAGATGCAAAAGGGGTTTTGTGTCATAGATTTTTATCAGCTTGAGTTTAACCCTCCTGCAGAGAGGCAGATGTCACAGTTGGACAGTGGGAAAGCCGTGGGCTGTCCCGTCAGTTCCCAAAAACATGAAAAAAGAAAACTTGGGGAGCAGCACACACAGGATCAATGCGACCCTGATGGGACTGCGCACAGGGTAAAAAGCTCATGCAGGGTTCACCACTCAACCCCTCTTAGGACTGCGGGGTTAAGAATTGTGTCTCATACCCAACCTTATTGCTATAGCTGCGTGTGATCTACTGTCCCCGAGGTCTGCACTGTGTGGTCGATTTGTGTCTCCCTTGGTTTGCAGTGTTCTTGTTTTTGCTGAGCAGCCTCACTTGCAGCTTCTTGCACATGGCTGTCTGTCAAAATACCCTCAGGATTTGTTGCAGAATTTTACTGAGATGCATGAGATGCTTTTACTTTACAATTGTTTTTTTGGATTAAATTGTTTTTTTGTTTTTTTGTTCTTTTTCCATCTTTGCATCTTTTAGCCAAGCAGGTGTGTGAACCAGATTGACAGCGTTTGTCAAACGATTGAGAAGACCATCAACCAGGCTGTCCAGAAGACTTTAGATCAGCTGGAGAAAGACTCTGACCTCATTTGTTCGACCATCACCAACAAACTGGAGCAGGACAGGTTCAATTCAGTGCTGTTATTTTATTTTTTTTTCTTCTTTTACTTTGATAAAACAAATGTGTATAAAATGGTTGAAAATCAAACCATTTAGCTGCATTAAATGTTTCAAGTCAGGTTTTGTCACTCTGCACACAGGACTGACGTGGCTTTCAACAGGAGTGTCCGTCTTCACTCAGTTCTGTGTTTGGCTTTGGGCTTTTTCCTGCCGTTCCTTTTCATCCTTAGTTTCATTGTAAGCACCTTCTCCAAGGAGCAACTGGACGACTTGCTGGGCGAAGGTCCGACTCAGACCGTTATGGTCTTCACAGTGAGTCCAGGAAATCTTTCAAAGAGAGCAAAATCTGACGTGAAAACATTATAATAAAATATTCTGTGTATCTGTCTCTCCCAGGGCATAGTGATGTATTTATGGGAATGGATACCGGAGGACAAACAAGTAGTTTTTGTGATCTCGTTTGGGGCTTTTTGCTACCTCCTGCTTTTCCTAGCAAAGTATTTTGCAGGGTAAGTGCGCAAAGACACCCATTCAACACGCCTCGATAAAATATGTGTAACTGGAACATTAGACAGAAAAATTCATATTGATATCTTGCATTCTCCACAATCAGATTAATCAGTCAGATTGATTGCTATTAACTGCGCTTTGAGTTTTATTTATTTCAAACTTTCACAAAATTATTAGGTAAAAAAAAAAGTAAAACTCCTCTTTATGTTTTCATTTCAATCAGTATTGGAGGGATCTGGAGCAGAATGAATATTGTACTTTAAAAAAATACTGAACTCTCTCCTGTTTTTTTTTTTTTATTTAAATAATGTTAAATGTAATATTTTAAAGTTGTCAATAATAATAAATCAAAATAAAAACTTTTAAACCTTAGCTGGAAAGAAAACATAATGACAGTAAATTATTAGAATATGCTTCTATTCATACTGATTTCTTCCCTTTTGTCCAAATTGTATAAAAGGGTGAAATTAGCATTCAGCCTGTCTCTCAGACACGTGCAGACATTTTACGCTTTGGGTTATGGTTCTGATGGTTCTTTGCCCTTCATCCTCAGCCGAAGAAACAAGACTCTGACGAAGAAGGAGAAGAGGAAGATGATGGAGTACATGGATTATATCCATGATATTGTCAAAACTAAAAAGGTTAGACTGACTTCTCCTTCAATAATCTGGTATTCTCACAGTCATAGTTTCCGCTTTCTTACCGATAATGGATCAAAATCGGGTCGTTCACCAAAATAATGACCCAAAACATTCAGTCAAATCCACACAGAAATGCTTCTGTGCTTTTTTTGACTCATCTTTGTCATCTGAGATTGTTTGGTTCATGCCTTTTTAGCTACTGGAAGTTTCTCTGCAGTGGGAAGTCTGGGTGTTGGCCTGGACTGTTGTCTTAAGTTGGACGAACATATAAATGCTATCTAGCTTTTTCCAGCCACGATTGACTGCAGCGGCTAAGCTTCACTTCTCTTTTAAGGACTTTTAGAAGGTCGTTCAGGCTTTTATGCCCTCTCGCCAGGACTATTGTAATTCTTTACTTGGCTAGATAAATCATCCCTGCTGCCTTTACAGATAATCCAGAACGCTGCAGCTCGACCGGCGCTCGGCACAAAGAAGCATGAACATATAACTCCTTTTAAATGGCCTTATCTATGGGATCTCCTCTAGTATATCCACACACCTCCAAAAGCACCAGTTTCTCCTTGAGGTTCTGAGATCAAAGATAAACCGCGGCGGTGATGGAGCATTCGCTGTGGGCGCCGCAAGACCGTGGAGAACCTTTTCCTCCTCACGTCAGCACTGCTCAGACCACATAACGGATTAAATGTGTTGAAAATTCATCTCTTTCATTTTGACTGATTGAGCATGAGACACTGGGTTATAGTGTGCTCTCGTAATGTCATTTCAAGAAATTGTGATACATTTTGGTTAACTTTACTTGTTTTTAATTGTATTCTAAAAGTAAACCTGTCATTACTTTTTACTTTATAGGCTAAACTGTACGAGTGGTACCTGCAGCAGTGTGCAGCGGAACAGGACCTCTGATGCCGCTGGTTTACATCTGGATGGTGGTGCTGCCTCATGCTTTTTTTTAATAATCTTTTTTATTTGTTTGTTTTTTTTTTGCAAAAAAGCAACTAATTAGATTTCAGCCTGACATTGGTGGGTTAGTGTTAGGCTTAGTAGACAATCACCAGGCCAGTCGTAGGTGGAACCTGAAATGCAGCAGCCATCACTGCCAACCTCTGTCATCTCAGCAGCCGACGTGGAGAAGTGCCTTGTTTTTACTGCACACAGGACAAACTGTGATTTTAGCTCTTGGGCAAAAGTAATTTTCTCAGTGGGAGGATTTGTTCCCCTTTTCTCTTAGATTTTGTGATACAAATGCTCAAAAATGTTTGCAAAAGGACTTTTCTCCATTTCACATATTGACCCACCAGCAAATACCTTGTATTTTTTTAGTGTGAAATACCCTGACTGACATATTACCTGAATGTGTTTTCATGCATATAGCTATTTAACTGCAATAATCAGTGCCGCGATTACACCCGGGCATTACGAATAGATGTGAAGAAGCAGCAAACCTGCAAAAAAAAAAAAAAAAAAAAAAAAAAAAAATTCCCCCCCTTTTGGAAATTTTTTTTTTTTT